GCACTACATTACAGGGATACATCCAGTATCTATACATTCTCTATACATTTCAAAATGCTTTTCTGTGTGTTGTTTTTTCAAATTTTCCAAAAGATGGAAAAGTTTTAGGTAAAACATGTATTACTGCTATGATAGGAAAACTGATCTGTTTTTTCCTATAAATGAATTGATGATTTAAATTTTTCTCTAACATCAGTCTTCTCATCCAAATGTTCAAGAGTTGTTAAACCTTACCTAACCTTTCTTTGCCTGTAAGTCAGCAGTAAAATATGTGGTCCCATGTACTGTTCCACTATCCATTAATAACTATGAATGGGCCACTCAGTAGAAGTACAGGCTCAGTAGAATTAGTCACAGCTTCTTTTATTACATGTATACAATGATTGTGTTATAGATATACATTCGCTGTTTCTCCTTATCTTCTACCTCTTATATTCGTTCTGTCCTCATCTGCAATGATTCTTGAACTTTAGATGGTATAGTAGTCCAAATGCCTTTTTTAAGCTTCAGATCTTATCTATCACTTATTGTCATCATCCCAGGGCGCTACGAGTCTCTATTGATTGTTTGGTGTAAATAAAAGCTTCTCTCATTGATACTGAGGATAGATTTTGCTTATGGGTATAAACATAAATATTTAGGAAGAAATTTGTAACCATCTCTCTTTAGATAATTATTAGTAGTAATTTCCACTCACAAACTGATATATAGATTATAGATGGAATCTTAGAGTTGGGGTGTCAGTATCTTTTGTTTTGTCAGCATTGCACCAATCAGAAACAAATACATAGTTCCAATAACAGGGGCACAGACACTTCTGAACATAACTAGAATAAGAAATCAATGAAGAGGAGATTAGTAGGGGATAGAAGAGTAGACATGACAGGGAGGGAGAGGAGGAGAGGCTAGAGTTAAGATCAATTGAAATACAAACTTCATGATACACTGTATGGAACTGTCAAAATAAAATTTTAGTTTTTCAAAAGGAAAATGTGCAACATGAGAAGTATTCAGCTGCTCACAAATATAGAATGTTTAGAAACTTGCAACTGGATCCTATATCCATTCATTGATCCTTGACAGGACAAGAGAAATGAATAAGAAAATCAAGAGAACATAGGAAAAACAGTAGCAGAAAATATTGGCAGTTCAGTCTACATGTTCTGATCAATGTGTTTTAACACTCCTTTCTATCGAGAGTATGCCAGATCACTTGATTTCCATTTGCCTCTTGACTTTCATGAGTCAGTATCTCCTTATACCAAGACAAGGTAAAGGAACTGTGTCCCCAACCCATTATGATTTATTATTAAATATAAATTGTTATTCAAAAATTGTGACAGGGTGTATATTATGGTCTTTGTACATGGCACAAAATCAAGCCAATTTATTTGGAGTGTACATGAAGCATGTAGGACAAGATGGCCTTAGAAGATCAGGTCTTGTTATCTATAGACTCCACAGAGTGATAGTATGGGGTCCCTAACACTTCACTAATTAGCACTTTGCTTCCCTCTGTCACTATCCTATCTAGTAACTAAGGACTGCCTAAATGTTTATGTATTCAATTAATAGAAAACCTTGTTTCTATCATATTTCTTCTTTACATAAATGCCTTTTGGAAATGTTTTAATTTTTTGCTAGTATATTATATTTATATCATTTCCCCGGTCACTTCCCTCCCTCCAAACCATCCGAAGTACCACTCCTTGCTCTCTTTCTATTTCACACAATCTACTTTTCATTAATTTTTCTTACATAGAGCTAGCGAAGTCATGAATCTTGGAGAATAACTTACAATTGCCACTTTACCACATCAACAAAGTATCTAACTACATTATAAATAATTTTCCTTATATACACAGTTAATAAATATTCTATTATAAATGAATGTTGGGAGGCTAGCTCTTAATTCCCAATGGGTCCAATGACCTGGGATTGATGTGTGAAGTCATCCCAATGACGAAACTCTGACTACCTGTTTCAAACTAGTGGCCCTGGATAACCTGAACTGTTTTTATTTATCCAGTTTCAATAGTTTGCATAAACAGTTTTACAGTGTAATTTGTTTCTTTAAGTTTTTAATAATGGTTACAATAATTGCCAGTTTGTTCCTTTATCTCATTTTTCGTTCATCTCCCAATTTCCCCACCTGGAATCATTACCTACATGATTCATATTTTTAATATTAAAAGCATAAGTAGTATAGCAACTAACAAAGGAAGTTTTCTAATTAGGCACATCTACAGGTAGAAGAGTGTGCCCAGTTGGCAGCATTTGTAGTTACAGTGCCATGCCAAGTGAAATAATTTTGGCTCTAGTGATTAATGTTTTACCTCTAGGAAATCTACATCTTCCCAATCAACTCTAGAGCCAAAGCTGAATCAATTTGTTTTTCATCCTGTACTATTTTATTTTCTATGTGGGATATACCATATTTTCTCCTATCATGCTATAAACTACATAACTTAAAAGCTGACTCTTAGTAGTTGGCACTGCTTATCCCTTGTTCTAATGCCCCCTTTCTCTCAGCTTCCTACAGTGTTGGCACAGATATAGAAATGAGAACGCTGTGGGTTTCTATGATTTTGCTTCATTTCCTATTCCTAGACTGTTTCCATGAACTCCTGATATCATTTATTTATTAACATTTCTCCTAGACTCTTGTGGTTAATATCATTCTTTCCAAAGCAATTATGAAGATTTACAATGTCATGAACTACTGTCACTCTTTTCAGGCTAGTAACAAAGTGTGTTAGAAAAGCAACATCCTTTTCTTGACAATCTTGAATTCATTTTCAGGCTTGAAACATCAAAAGCTTTAGTAGCTAAATCAGGTTCACTGTATGAATTGTTTACATTTTTTATTCATTTTACATACCAACCACAGTTCCCCTTCCCTCCCCTCCTCCTCTCCTTCACCTCCTCCCTCAACCCACCTCCCATCCACTCCTCAGAAAGCTTAAGGCCCCCCACAGGAAGTCAACAAAGCTGAGCACATTCAGGTGAGGAAGGACAAAGCCCCTCCCTTGACATCAAGGCTGAGCAAGGCATCCCATCATAAAGAATGTATTCCAAAAAGCAGTTCATGCACCAGGGATAGATCTACTGCCAGGGGCTCCTCAAAAAGACCAAGCTGCATTACTGTGGCCCACATGCAGAGGTCCCCTGCAGGCTTGCCAGCTGTTGGTGTAGAGTCAGTGAGCTCCCAAGACCTCAGGTCAGCTGTCTCTGTGGGTTTCCCCATCATGATCTTGCCTGCCTTGCTGACATAATCCCTTCTCCCTTTCTTGGAGATCCCCTGAGTAAACTGGGAACTGGAGAATGTAGAGGAGAAGGAATTGGGCATGGGACATGAGGGAATGGGTGATCAAGTTGGGGGAGGGGCAGAGAGGGAGAGCAAGGAAAGGTAGATCTTGATAGAAGGAGGCATTATGGGGTTAAGAAAAAAAATTCATGCTAGGGAAATTCCCAGGAATCCACAAGAATGACCCAAGATAAGGCTGTTAGCAATAGTGGAGAGGGTACCTAAACTGGCCTTCCCCTGTATTCAGATTGGAGACTACCCTAACTGTCCATAGAACCTTCATCCATTGTCTGATAGAAGCAGATGCAGAGATCCATAGTCAAGTAGCAGGCTGAGCTGAGGGAGTAGACTGTATATTTTTAACAGCATCCCCTCTGACTCATCCTGAGGATAGCTGTCAGAGGAAAGTTTTCCCTATGTAAAAGCCATTTCATCCATAGCTCTAAGGAAGTGAAACTAGAAGCATCCAGAAATCATTTGTATAAAGGGGAGCAAGAAAATGAGATAGCACAAAGGCTCCTGGGGTCATGCCCAGAATTATGCAACAAACTATCCATGGGCTGTGCCAAAATGAGTTAATTTCTGCATAGCTTTGCCACAGGAGGACTTGTTCAGGCTAATCGCTGAAAGAAGTCACATGGCTCCAAGCAGATGAAAATTATCAATATAATTTAGAAAATAATGGGCTAGAGAGATGACTCAGAACCCAGAGTCTACTTCAGGTATCTGTCAAATTCCTCCAACTCTGGAACAAAAGAGTATCTTCTGGACTCCAAAAGCACCTGCAAATACTCACATACTCATAGCAACACAGATATTCACAAACACACACACACACACACACACACACACACACACACACACACACACACACACGCACACACACTCATGCGCACACACACACACCAAACAAACAAATAAAAGGATTCCACATGTCCAACATTGATGCAAACAGAAGGAAAGTTACAGGAGGACACAAAGACCACATGTTTGCAAACAAAGTATTTGAAATGTCCAACTACAGCTTGGACATTCATGGGCAATTTAGGTATGCTGAGGATTCCAAACCAAAATTCAAATATACTAGAAATGAAAACCAAGAAATTCTGCCAAAGCCTAACAGACTCTCCCTATCTACTCTGTCTACATTCTCTTTCACCACTCCTGGTATAAAGCAAGTACAAATGCTTCATAGGCAGCTGACCATATGAATGATCTTTCCTCCTGAGGAGCATGGCAAGGTCCCATACAGGATTGGGTTTTTGATACATGATTTAGTCATGTTTCAGTAACCAAAAATGGATGGCAAAGCCATGAGCTTAAAATTCTTCCACCCTTAGCAAGAAGTAAAAACTTTGAAATGATAGCTCTTTATTGCAGACAATTAGGGAGATATATAGAAAATCAATTGTTAATGAGGAAGCCATAGAATAAGGAAGAAGTAAAAGAAAATAAGTTGCATCAATAAGAGCATAAATCAAGCAAAGGAAGAAAAAATCAAGACATTTTGACAACGGGAAAGAGATGGTTCTTGCTAATGAAAAAAATTATTAGTTCACCTTGAGTAATTTGCCCCCTCTATCCTCAAGTCTTTAAAGCAATGATGAATTCTGTGTTATCCCTTGCACAGACAGTAATAGTTTTTAAAGCTTTTTTTTAATTACTAAAGTATTAGGATCTAAGCCTTTCTCTATCACTTCTTAGACAGAATGGGCACTTGATGTAGCACTTTCTTTAGAGAACATTTTACTTCCTTATTTCTCAGGCTATAGATTAAAGGATTCAGCATGGGTGTGACCAGGTTATTCAAGACCTGAACAGCTGCATTAAGCCAGGGATTTGGAGTAGGCTGGAGGTATATGAGGACCACTGGCATAAAGGCGAGGAGGATGGCAGTGAGGTGGGCACTGCAGGTAGAGAAGGCTCTATGCCGCCCCTCAGCAGACGGGATCCGTAGAATGGAGCAGAGGATGCAGCTGTAGGAGGTGAGGATGAGGAAGAAGCAGCTTAGTGGCATCAGGCCCACACTGATGAGCCCCACCATCTCCAGGACTGATGTGTCTGCACAAGCTAGCTTTAGCATAGCAGGGATATCACAGAAGTAATAGTCCACCTCATTGGGACCACAGTATGGCAACTGGAAAGTAAGAATGGTCAGAAAGGTAGCTTGAATACAGCCAAAAAATGATGTCCCTATTGCCAATATAGCACACACTCTGTGGTTCATGATTGTTGAGTATCGTAGAGGGTGACATATGGCCACAAAGCGGTCATAGGCCATTACTGTGTACAGAAAACACTCTGTACAACCCAGGAAATGGTAGAAGAAGAGCTGGCACACACAACCTCCATAGGAGATGGCTCGGCTGTTTCCTGAGAGGTAGAACAGCATCTTGGGAGAACTCACAGATGGGAAAAATATGTCACACATGGACAACTTGCACAGGAAGAAGTACATGGGAGTGTGAAGCCGAGTGGAAGAGATAATCGCGAGGAATATTAGCAGATTTCCCAACAAGGTGAAGATGTAGAAAGATAAAAACACTACAAAGAGCATGGTCTCCAGACCTTCTGTGTGAGGCATGCCCCTCAGGACAAACTGAGTCACAATAGAGAGATTTGTCATGTCTTTGAAGATGTCTGACTTCAAAAGAGAACACAGATCTCCAATACACAAATATTGAAGTCAAACCAGGAAGCTATATCATGAATATGTTGGTTTTATTTTTTAGCAAAACTCATATTATAGCAGCAGATTTACATGTAGGAAAAAGTCCATGAAGTCTATACCTGGGAACATCAGTCTTTGTTGACTTGGACAATAGTCACTACAAACTTGATTTCACACAGATTAAAATTTAGATGTTAGGGAATTGTGTATCAGATATTTTATATCTGAGATATGTACCCTATGATATATAACAGTAGAAAAATTAAAGTTCTGAAATAGCAATGAAATAATTTTAGGGTTGGGGGTCACCACAACATAAGGACCTGTTTTAAAGCGTCAAGCATTAGGATGGTTGAGAACTATTGCTTTAAGACATAGAGATTGCCCAGCCATATGGTTCATGGGATAAAGGCACTTGCTCCTTAGACTGAGAACATGAATTCTATCCATGTACCCACATGCCAGATTTAGAAAAATCTACTCCCTCAACCTCTAATGTCTACATGCACACAGCATACTTACTACAACATACATAGAAACATACACATAAACAGGCACAGCAGATGCAGAGACAAAAAATGTAAGTAAACCCTTCATTGAAATTGCTTTGAAAAAAAAGTTAACCAAATGTACACATGCTCGAGTATATTTTAAGCAAAACTTTGCACAAAGCAGTCAGAAAACACACCTATTATTAGAGTAAAATTGTGCTTTCATGGATTGGAAATGTCAATTTGAACTGTATTAGAATTTTTAATGATAATAAGTTAAATTTATACCTTATACAAAACAGAATTCCTTAATAGAGAAACAGTTTTTCTTCATTTTTATTCTAATTAAAATGCAATCAAGTATTTCTCCCTTTGTATACAAAACAAAGTGGTAAAGCTGAAACTACCAGATTTTTTTATTATTTATTTATTTAGTCTTCTCTCATACATTACATCCTGACTGCTGCAATTTCCCATTCCTCTGGTTCTCCCAATTCCCCACCACCACTACCTCCCGTATCTACCAGATCCACTCCTTTATTTTAGACCTTCCAGGTATGACAACAAAACATAGAACAAGTTACAAAAAGACGAATTACAAAAACCCTTATATATAGGCTGGATGAATCAACAGGATAAGAAGGAAAATGTCCCAAGAGCAGGAAGAATAATCAGAGACACCCCTGATCTCACTGTTAGGAATTCCACAATGATACCACACTACACAATTGGAATTATCAGATTTAAGTACTTACTTTAGCATTGTATTTTTGAGTCCATGTGCACTGGAGAAGGTAGGGGCATATCTCCACAGAACCAAATAGAGAATTCAGATAACAGACTCTCATATGCATGTTTAGTTTATTTTTAGAAAACTGTAAAAAAGAAAAAAGTAGCCCCAAAATAGTCTTTTAATGCTAATTCTGGAATAACAGAGCAATTTCATAGAAAATTAAAAATGAATACTTAATTGTCCTAGATCATGTCTAACCACTTAAACACACACACACACACACACACACACACACACACTACTTAGATGCATCATGTTTTAAGTGCATTTTTTAAATATACAATTTCTCTTGAATAAACAGAAGCATTTATTATGATATTAGTTTCAGACATCATAATTGCAATCCATGGTTTATTTCAAATAAAACAAACTAAACCACCTGAAAATTAAAATTTCCTATAGTGAGATCATGAAAGAGAACAAAAGAATACAGATCAATTAAGATGAGTAGGGGACTGACAAGAGAAACCAATGAATCACAATGGGAGATCCCAGGTAGTTTACTGACAACATAGTTGTTAATTAGATGACAAACAAGTAAAATTAAAATGAGGTCAGTAAGTAGTATTAATTGTAACAGTATTAATGTACTGAAAATAAAGGGAAGAAGTTATATAATATGATATATAATATGAGGAAGGAAAATTTGTTCTTATATAAAAACAAGTTAATCTAAGTTAATACTCTGTTGTATTCTTAATAATTAAAACCTTTTTTCAGAAAAATTAAACATTTTTAATAACAATATTTAGAAGATTTCTGCTTTTGAAAAAAGGAAAAAAAATAGAAAAATTTCCCACAGAATCAAGCTGGATTTCTTCCAGTGTTGAGGATTAGACACAGTATGTAAGCTTGGTCAGTGCTCTATCACTGAGCTGTATCCCAGGCTCTGGGTTTTCAAGAAAATGCCTGACCAGTTCAGAGTGATCTTGAACTTACTATGATGCTCTCACTGATGACGTTCAATCCAGTCCTGCAAGAACTTTGGAGTGGGGAAAATTTGCCACTTTACACATCCTGGGATTTTCTATGCTATTGTAAATGTAAACCATGTTCTTTGGTATTTAGAAAAGTTCAGGGTCTCTATGCCTTGGGATCTGAGATTTGTTGTTTGCTCAGCAATAGTCATCACCTGTGCAGCTTTCAAGTCTTAGACACCTTCATTCCCCCCTAAAACATGTCTTTCAGATGCCCATGGGGATTTTTCATAATTTAGTCATTGATATCCCTGAGGAACCAATTAGATGTAAGTTTACTACATTCTTCCTTGAATTTAAACAATAGAAATTTGGAAACAGAAATAAACGATTTCTCTAGTATGCCAGCCTGCCTGATAGACTAACCTCAGACTAGAAAGGTCTTGACAACTTCTATGGCCTGTCTCATATGTTAATGTCTTTCCCTGGAGCAATACTCCAACACACTCACTTTAATTATATAAACATTTCCAGGATTCAGTAACTATCTAAAATGCACCTTGAAATTTAAAGCAATTTAATGACTAGGACAGAAATGTTCCTGAGCTATGTGTCCTTACAGTAAGGCACTTTAAAAAGAATGTTAAAACAGTATATTCAAATGATATTTAATGGAAAAATATAAATCAGCATTGTGGAAATAAACTCTTCCAAGTAGATACATTTTGATTTAAAGATCAATGTTGATTAAACATCTGTAGTTACTTACTGTTTCTTACATTCAATGATTATTTTCTTAATTATTTAAAAATAGCTTATTGTATAGGAGAGGAAAATAAAGGATTGCTACTTAATATCAAAGTCATGTAACTGGAGACTGATCTAAAACAGGTCTGACTCCAGAACCAAGGCCCCTCATCCTTCTGTGCTGATAGCTGTTATTATTGACTAATGTGAGACTTGAGGTCTATGAAAGATTCCATAAACAATAAAGCATTGGAGATTGCAAAATATTTCCAATGAATTGAAGCATAGCAAGGAAGAAAACTCTTCAATGAAATAATCTGTCCTAGGAAGGAGTGAGCTTGACAGTGGTGTAAGCATGTAAGCATTTTCAACTGGCATTCTTTCACACACATAAAGAGGAAAATTCTTATTTGGAATGAGATTATCCTTTGTTCACAGACTTTATCCTAGTCCAGAGATTACTTGATTTTATTACATATTCCCATGTTGTTAAGTATAGGTTAGTAAGATCAATGCTTTGGTCTACGCATTTGATGTCTATCATCATTAAATAATAATGATTTTTCTTCATGGAGAGTTTACAGTGAAAACAGTTCATGTTAACTCATATGAATTCTGAAGACAGAGATGCATATCCCGAACAGAAGCCAGGTCACAGTTAAGCCAGAGTCCCTTAGGATGGCCAAATGCATAACAATGCTTTGTATGTAGATTCTAGCTAAAAAAAAAAAAAGTGTCTTGTTAGGGTTTATTATTGCTGTGAAGATAAACCATGACCACAACTCTTAAAAAGAACACATTTAATTGAGAGTGGCTCACTTAGGCTTTCAGAGGTGCAGTCCATTGTGATCATGAAGAAGAGCATGACAGTGCTGGAGCTGAGAGTGCTACAATTGCAGGCAACAGGAAGTCAATTGACTGTCACACTGAGGGAAGTTTGAGAAAAGGAGACCTCAAAGCCCACTCCCATAGTGGCACACTTCTTCCAACTAGACCACACCTCTTAATAGTGCCACTCCCTTTGGGGGTCATTTTCCTTCAAACCACCACAGACCCAAACAAATAATTCAAGTTATTTTGAAAAATATGACCAAATACTGAGCCCAATATATTGAAAAATATGATCAAATACTGAGATTTACTGATACTACTATTTTCCAAAGAATGTTTATGAATCCCACCTGGAAGTTAAAACTTGTTGTTAACAATCAACATTAACTGTTCCATTTTTAGTAATTAAATTTATGATTAAAATATTCAAGACACCTACAGTAGCTACCTTTCATTCAAGACTGAAATTGTACTTTTCCTGTGAAGATTACTTGAATTGCAACATATCCATGGGTTGGATTTCCTGAGGGCCTGTGAATTAGGGCCTGTGAGTGTTTGATTTCAAAACTAAAATAATCACTGCCTTGAGAGTGCCTATGGCAACTCCAAAAATGTACCAGTCAGATGTCTGCATAACCAAATGATACATATATACCAAATACTGTTTTGATTTTCACTGCATTTTTACATGACAAATCACTTGAGTAAACTCTGTCTAACCAGAGAAAAGGTTGAAGGCACCTACAAGTAAATGTTCCATGAGATGTAAGACCTATCTGATATTATACTTTAAGTATTACATGTCTACATGATCTCAGAGTTTGAATTCCTCATCTCTAGATGGTGGTGCTACTCTGGTAGGTGACAGAAGTCTCTGAACATAGTCTTTACTAATTAGAAGAAATATCACTGATAATTATTTGATATTTTATTTAAAAGATCCAACTGTTTTTGAAAATGTATGTGAATTCCATCTAGCTGTAACAAATGTGTTTAACAATCAAATTTTACTATTGTCTCAATGGCGGAATTATTTTAGTAAAGTCATGTATTGTGCTTCTAGTTCCTAGCTCTTGTCTGTCTTTGTTTCCAGACATCATTAATTGGGCACTTATGTTCAATCAAATATTCCTTAGTGTACTGTGTCATACCACCGCTCAGAAAAATAAAGCCAGA